CCATATAATTACTAGCAGAGCACAATCTGCTGCACTCTGTCCCCAGGTGGGAACCTTAGAGCCTAGGGCCTCATGTCCTCATCTCTCCTGAGGCTCCTTCCTGACTGCTGCAGCTTGTGAGATCCACTGGCATTTGATCTTTTCCTTGCAATTTGGAGAAATCTTCTTTTGCATCATCTTCTTCCCTATAGAAGTCCCCCCAAGAAGCTCTGGCTTTGGGAAGACAGCAGCCTGGAAGGCAGTCTGTCTACCAGCAACTTGAACTTCATAGCATTGCAAGGCAATTTGTACCAAAATCTCTGAACATCTGATTGGAGTTGGGGCAAGGAAAAAAAAACAGAACACAAATCCCCAAGAAATGTGTCCGTAAATGATCCTACATTATTGCTACTATTAATAAATAAATGGCTAATATTATGGATTATTGAGCATTATTCAGATGTCTCAACTTGTTTTGTTTTTTTGTGATACTAGAATACCACTGCCCCGAGTTCTCCATCTGCTTGTCAGAATGCATTTGCCAAGACTCAAAAAACAAGAGTGCTGCTTTGGGCGTAATTAATGTTTAGACAATAACTGGTCAGCACGTTCAGCTGCTTCTTGAGGTCACTCCTGGGATATGAAAATAGAGCCCTGTATTGCTATAAACAGGACATTTGTTTTCTTTGTGGTCTATCAGGAGGCTACTATCTCAGTCATGTAGAAATTAGAGCAGATTGATTGCTCAGGTACAGATTCAAAAAAGGAGAAGATACAGACTGGCCTAGTTTTGTGCTGTTTGAAATAGAAGTTTGAAGGATCCGAAATCCATTTCTGTTCAATATGACTCAATGTAGTATTTTAATAAAGTCCCTAAAGAACTTTATAAGTCATAGGTCAGTTTTTAAATTGTATAGTGTGGACCATAAATAATTCCTGTTTATAGAGTCAAAAGCAGATACAGTGCATCAGTACATAGTCATTATGGCTGTACCACCTGACCTCCCCAGCCCCGCCTCTGGGCATTGGGAAGACAATGACAGATGAGTCAGACAGGCAGGTCTCTTTGCTCAAGTTGTTCACAATGTGGGGTTTGCAAATGTCATAACCATCGGAATCATTCCTGAAGCTTGTCAAATAAAAGTGTTGCCTGGGCCCCACTGCAGACCCACAGATCAAAATCTCAAGGAGCAGAGCCCAGTTATCTTCATAATTCACAAGCTCCATAGATGATTCTGGTACTCATCAAAGTTTTGGGGCCAGCTTTATGGTTGATGTTGTTTTGATAATGTAAGCTGCTGCAATCGGAAATGTCTCAGCAAGTATTTGTAAGAGATATGCAGGCATAACTATCTATCTATCTATCTATCTATCAACATGTCTCTTACCTCCACATAAATATAACCTATTATTTTAAATAATAATCAACACTTATTGAGCATCTACATGCATCAGGCACTATTAATTCACTCAGCAAACATTTGTTAAGAGCCTACAGGGACCAGGTACTGTTCATCAGAAAATGCAACAACTAAAAGTCCCTGCCCTGAGGGAAGTGACATTTCAGTAGGGGACCGCCAACAGTAAAATTAAAGAAGACAGAGATGACTGACTACGGGTGCCATGGCAGGAAGCAGTTTTTGTTTATTTATTTTGGTTTTTTGAGACAGGGCCTCACTATGTAGTTGAGTCTGACCTGGAACTCACTATGTAGCCCAGGCTGGTCTCGAACTCACAGCAATTCTCCTGCCCCAGCCTCCCAAGTGCTGGCACCACCATGCCTGGCTAGGAAGCAGTTTGATTGTAATTCAGAATAGGCCAGCAGAGGAAGAGTTGAGGGAGGAAGGGAGGGAGTCCCGCCACCAGTTTGGGGAAGAGGAGGTTCAAAGCCCTGCCCAGAGGACACTTCTGGTGGCTTCAGGAAACAGCAAGAAACCTAGGGGCTGGAAGATAATAGATGTGTCAGAGGCTAGAATGCTGGGCAGAGGTGTAGGGCCTATAGGGGCCTGCAGGCCATGGGAGGACTTTGGCTTTTACGCTGAGGGAGATGGAAGGGTACTAGGTGACACTTTTGAACAGGCTCATTCTGGCCAATGAGAACAGGCTATTGGGGCTGAGCAGGGCTGGTAGCAGCTAGAAGAGTAATCCACTGCGTAACCCACAGGAGGGAGGGGTGCTGAGAGGGTTGGTGGGAGCAGTGGACATGGTGAGAAGGATGCAGCTTCCAGGAGTACTGCACTTAAAAATGTATTCATTTTTAAAAATTAATTTTATTAATACATTTAAGGTATACAATATAATGACATTCATCATTGGAAATACGCACCTTTATGTAATCTATCTTAGTTCTTATTTCTCCCCATTCCCCTGCCCTCCCTTCAATCCCTCCACCCTTCCTATTTACAAAGACTTTGTTTCCATCTTTTTCACTTAATCATATTCATTCCATTCCCTTCTTTCTTTTCTGCTACCCCTCCCACTTCCCTTTCTCCTTTGCACCTTTTCTTCCTGTTTCACATTATCTATTATACCTTTTATTTCTTATTTACACTTTCGGTTTCTCACACTAGAGAAACTATTCCTTTGTATACTAATGTGCCACAGGGTGATGTTTTAGTCATCACTGATGCACAATGGTGATCCCATGAGATTATAGTGGAGCTGATGTTCCATCTGGCCTAATACGATAGCACAGAACATCACTCTCATGCTGGTGGTATGTACCTAGGGTCCTGGCAGTTGTGTAAAATTATAGCATGCACAAATATGTACAGCACATGATACTGGAGGATAGTAACAATGGATTTATTATTTGCAATACTATACTTTTCATTGCTAATTTTGAGCATACTCCTACTTATTAAAAAACATTTGCTGTAACCAGTGTGCTGGGTTAAGCCAACAGCAACCTCATTCATCTCATGCTTACTGCATCTCTTAATTGCATCAAGAGGCCACCTTGCATCACTGACCTGTACTAGCTAGGTTTGTGCATGCACACGCTTGTGATGCTTGGATGACGAGGAAATCAACTAATGTTGCATTTGCCAGAATTTGTCCCTGTCTTTAGTTGACACATGACTGTCATGGTCAAAAAAATTACACATATTTATGGGGCACAGTGTGATGTTTTGACCTATGCATGCATTATGGATTCAGTCAAACTAACATATCTCTCTTCACTGATCATTTTTTGTGGTAAGAATGTTAAAAATCTTTTTAACAACTTAAAAATTTACAATACATCCCAGATGCCCATTTTTGGGTTGCGTCTTTAAATTGTGGGAGTTTGATTTTTTTGAGCTCTTTATATATTCTAAATATTAGTCTTTGTCTAAGGAACAGCTGACAAAAAGCTTTCCCACTCTGTTGGTAGTCTCTTTACTCTGTTGGTGGTTTCTTTTGACCTACAAAAGTTTTTAATAAAATGAGATCCCAGTTGTTTATTCTTTGTAATATTTCTTGTGTGGTCTGGGTTTTGTTCATAAAATCTTTGCCTATACCTATGTCTTCAAGAGTTCCACCTATTCCCTCTTCCAGCAGATTTAGTGTTTCTGTTTTAATATTTATATTATTATTATTTTGTTTTGTTTCTTTTTTTGAGACAAGGTCTTGCTGTGTTGTTTAGGCTGGCTTTGAACACACTATGTAGCCCAGGCTGGCCTCGAACTTGCAGCGATCCTCTTACCTCAGCCTCCCAATTGCTACAATTACAGGCGCAAGCTACCATGTCCAGCTCTGTTTTAATATTTAGATCTTTGATCCATCTTGATTTTATTGTAGTACATGGTGAGAGATAATGGGTTTAGTTTTAGTCTTCAGCATGTGGGAAGCAAAGACTTTCCAGCACCATTGATGAAAGAGGCTGTCTTTCTTTCATTGAATGTGTTTGGTCCCTTTGTTGAAGATAAGGTGGCTGAGTGTGTTTGGAGTTGTTTCTGCATCTTCTATTTTGCTCCATTGATCCTCAGATCTGTTTTTTGCTAGTACCATGCCAAGTTTATATGTATAGGTCAAAACTTTTGTTTGTAAACCACATCTTATCCCCTCAAAATTAGAGAATTGTGTGTACACAGTACTATAAAGAAAAGTATCATCATTGCAAAGAACAGTCAGGATGGTTTTGACTGGCTGCAGCAAGACCATCACTGGGATCGCAGTAAATGGGGACTGTACTCATAATGGCATTTCTTCCTGGCATATAGGAAACATTAGAGAAGCTACACTGGCCAATCAAAAGATAAGATAGTGAATAATATTTATTATTCAGTTTATTTCAAAGCACTTTTATGTAAATTCTCAAAAATGTCTTCCCTAAGGCTGATAGTGAAGGATGTAACAGTGTGAATTTGAGGGTTCGGGAACCAGAGATCTGAAAACGGTAAGCAATATGGGAGGGGTGAACTCCACTGGATCAGATCTTCTAGTTTTTTAACTTTCTCCTCTTAGTTGTGTGGTCTTATGTTTAGTGATTGGACCTCAGTCCAGGGAAGAGTGTGTGTGTGTGTTTGTGTGTGTGTGTGTGTGTGTGTGTGTGTGAGAGAGAGAGAGAGAGAGAGAGAGAGGGAGAGAGAGAAAGAGAGAGAGAGACTAGGGTTAAGTATAAATCATCTAGCAGAAGAATTGGAACTAATTGATCAAACCTTCTATAAGTCATGCCCTTTGGTTCTTCTCACTCTCTCCTTTCTCTGTTCATCAATTATTTATTTCTGAATGGTAAATTTCACTAAAGGATGGGGTAGGGTGATTAAAAAAAGATATGAAAGTCAGATTAGGTAGCATGGAGAATAATTTTAATAAAACCCTCAGTAGAGAATGCAGTTGTAATTAGCACTAAAATGAAATTCTGAAATCTTGGTGGATTTGAGTTTGCTTTGCTCTCCTGATGCTTTGTTCCTATAAAAATCTGAGTTTGATTATGCCAAGTATCTAGCGAGGCTGTACTCCCTTTGTCTCGCTGAAGAAGGCATGTCCACCCCAGGATGGCTGGCAGCAGCACCTAATAGGCTTTGCTATTTCAGTTTGCAGCGATGATCTCACCCACAAATTCAAAGGTTTTACTGTGATGAATGAAGCAGAGAGATATGAAGCTCTAAGACACTGTCGCTATGTGGATGAAGTCATCAGAGATGCTCCATGGACTCTCACGCCAGAGTTTCTGGAAAAGCACAAGGTATTTCTCGTTGTTGTTCCATGTTCTCTACGTAGCAGCATTAGGAATCTGGTTCTGAGCTGAAATTCCAATTTTAGGAATTGTCATATACCGTCACTTCCGTTCAAGCCTGAAGACCTCTATATTCTCATTTCCTTGACTCCAGATGCTAAAGGTAGATCACCCAGGTCCAAATGTCTCTCTCTCTTCTTCCAACTGTGGGATCTTGAGCAAGATTTTTAACCATATTGTACTCACTTAACTTCATCTGTAAATTGGAATCATATTGGTATCTTTACCGTAGTCCCGTTTTGAGAATCTCATAAGAGAATCTAAATAAAACACTTGGAAAACTGGCTGGCCCATACACAGCAAAAGCTCCAAGAATCTCATCACTACCACCTTTGTTGCCATTATTATTGGTGCTTACAGATTAACAGGCCTCCTTTTTCATTAAATAAATATATACACATCTTACCCAGAAGGTCAAGGGTGAGCCTTTAAGGAAAAATCTTCATACCTCAGATTTTGTGACCCTGAGATTCCTACTGACATAAAATTTCTATTAGTTGAAAACATGAGAAACTCTTTTGATCTGCATCAAATTATGTGCTTTGTATCTTCCTGCCAGCCCCACATTAGGAGCTATTCTTTCCTTTTATAAGCAGTACAAAAAAAAATAAGATTAAGCTGTTCTAAGAATTTTCTTTTCTATTTTTAAATTCGCATTGCAGAAGAGAATAGAGAACACTGATAAATGTGCATGGGTAATAGCAGAAGAGACAATTTCCTAGTGAGAATAAAAAGAAAAAGGAAAAACTACAATATGATTTACTTTCGGTAATCACTAACACATTTTTACTAAGTATCTATTGTATATTCAACATGTGATAGGCATCATAGGGGATACTAGTAATGATGCCACTGCTGCCATTTATTGAGTATTTACTCTGTGCCCAGCACATGTGCTAAGGGTTTTGCTATTATTATGAGTTGAATTTGATCTCATGGCTACCCTAAAATGTTGTTGTTATTGTACGTGGGAGAGGGAGAGTAAGAACTACAGAGCACAGAATTAGTCATAGCAATAATAACTATTGAGTACTTACTATATTCAAGCTATTGCTTTTGAGTACTGTTGGATAATTATACCTCTTAATCCAGTGCTTCTCCAGTGAGTTTGCCCCTGAAGGAATATTTGGCAATTTCTGGAAACATTTTTTTCCTCATTGAGTTTATTGGTACATTTTAGGTGTACAGTACAGTTACATTCATTATTGGGATCTTGTACCTTTACATGACAGGTCTTGGTTCTCATTTTTTCCCCTTGTCCCTGCCCTCCCTTCACCCTGTCTGGAGACATTTTTGGTTGTCATAGCTAGAGGGTGCTACTGGTATCTAGTGGATAAAGGAATGAGATGCTGCTAAGCATCCTCCAATATACAGGACAGACGCACACAACCAAAAAATTATCCAGCCCCCAGTGTCACTAGTACTGAGGTAGAGAACTCTTGATTGAATCTTTCCCACCAACTTCATAGTTACAGCTAATAAGTGGTAGGCATGAGTCATACCCTGAAAGATTAAACTCCTACTCTAAACCACCTCTCAAGGTGAAGTAAAGTTTCATTATAAAAGGCTTTAAAAGCTGTGCAAGGAGCATTTACCTGATGCAGTAAGAGACAGAAATGAAGATTAGCAGGCTTTAGGAAAACCAGAAGAAAACTGTTTCAGGAGGGCAACCCATGTGACAGGATAGCTTGGAAAGGAGGGAGCCTATGGTGAGGAAGTCCAGATACAAGTTAGTGCCAATAATCCAGGCAAGGGGTCTGTGGATTTAATGTAACAGCAAGGGAGAGGAAGTGATGGCCTGTGTGCATGGGCACACACCCAGCAATGGAACCTGTGCCCTATGGAAAGTGGGGACAGAGAACGAAGGTCAACTCCATGATTTTGGTCTAGGTCAACTGAGAAAGAAGAAGAGAGAGACCACCAAAGGAGAAGACCCAAACATTTGCTTTTCTGTTACCATCCTCTCATGGAAATACCTTTCTTTCAAGGCTTCAGATACATGAATGTAACAAATAGCTGCCTTATTTCACAAAGGCATTTAGGGGTCACCAGTCCCCTCTAAATCTGCAGATAAGTACATCTATCCCAGTGGTGACAGCACTCCTCTCTCCAACAGATTGACTTTGTGGCTCATGATGACATTCCGTACTCTTCTGCTGGCTCTGATGATGTTTACAAGCATATAAAGGAAGCAGGTGAGATATCCCCTGTGTTCACTTGTCAACCACACCAATGAGGTGCAAGAAGGCAATATAAGACTCTAAGACTGCAATATATATATTCCATCAAAAATTCATACACCCTTTAGCAGTTCTCTGTACTAATAAATGTCTGGAAGCTAATGGACAACACTCTGAGCACCTCTTGTAATTGTAGAGGCCAAAGGTAACTTATATTCATCTCATGATGTAGTGATAGATTTAGTATTAAAACATTTATATGAATTTTTCTTTTCCTGATGCATACATTTTTGCCTCTCTCTCTCTCTCTCCATATATATATATATATATATATAGACACACACACACACACACACACACACACACACACACACACACATATGGTGTTGGAATTTCAGGTGTATCCCAAGCGGCGTCCACAAAGCCTCTCTAACATGCTAAGGCTCAGCCATGGCACAGATGTTGTCATTTAGGTATTTATATAGGAATTAACCTAGCACCAAAGTGCTTGAACTCAGGCCTGACGCAGGTTTTAGTCTAAAATCAGTCTAAAATCATCAGTCTAAAATCACAGAATGAACCAAACTGTGCCTTGTCTATTTCATGCCTTCCCCACTCCAGGGCTTACAGCAAAACATCCTGTAGCCTGAGTCTGCTCAGCTTCTGGTTCTTGATAATGCCAGGGACAATTCAGGGACTTAGTATACCCTTTTTGCACTTGCTTTTCTTAATTCTTTCTCCAATAAGTTTTAAAAAGAGCCTATTTTAGAACTCAAAGACTGAATACAGTCTCTCCTGCATTCTCAGCTACATCTACCTCCCATTGAAATGGAGATCTTACTGACAGTGGGAACGAGGCCCCAGGAAAGACATGATCTCTACAAATGAAAATGATATTGGATAACAATTTAGGAAATTATTCTGCTCCATAAGATGTACCTATTCATCCTGAATAGGGTTTGGTTGGCTCCCACCTTTTTGGAGCCAGCCAGGGAAGCTCGGTTCCATCCCCAATAGAGATGGTAGTTGGGCCTCTACCATTCTTTTAGCAAGGGTTCCCTCAGGGGTTAGGAGCGTTGGATAAGAATGAGAGACCTGACTTTCTTCAGTCCTGATCTTGTTTGTAAGGAGTTCCAAGAAAAGAAATCTCATACACTTTAGGCCTAGAAGGCTGCTGAGGAGCTGAAGAACACAGTGGGGGAGAAAGGGAAAAACTGGCTGAGGCATCACTTACGTCAAGGTGTGTTATGGCATGGGGTGATTAATACCTTTTTAAGTCTTTGTAAGAGCTGAGCTAGAGCCAGCTGATCCTCCCCTAGTGTTGCCATAAGGACCTGGAATAGACCACTGCCTTTCGAATTTAAATGTCCCAGCACATCATCTGCAGGCTCTTGTGAGAATTCACATTGGGATTCAGTAGGTCTGGTGTGCCCTGAGATTCCCGTTTCTAATGAACCCCCAGGTTGCGGGTCCATAGTTCTTATTTAGAGCAGCAGGAATCTAGACCAGGGCTTGAGGTCCAGCTGTCAGCCATAGAGTTAACTGAATCACTCTTCCTGGGTGAGCATTCCTCAGCTACTCTGTACTGTAGGAATAACAATATGATATTTGTTTTCTTTCTGGGTGAGTGCCTCCTGTGAGCTAAGAATAAGTTGCTTTCCTGATTTTGTGGCGTAAAATGTCAAATTCCAGTTGTCTTGGTGTAAGAATAAGTGCAACATTTTTCTAACTCTAGCAATCGAGCCTCCCTATCGTGTAACACAATGACTCCAAAAGTTAAGTGACTTGAAAGAGTGGCTTTATTTTGCTCCTGATTTGGTGGGGCAGGATTTTAACAGGGGTGTGGCTGGATGCTTCTTGCTTAGGTGTCTCGAGTAGTTGTCAGGTTGGCAGGGGCTGCAGTTGTCTGAAGGCTCAGCTGGGTTGGGGCTCCCAGATCTTGCACTCACATGGCTGGCTCTGTGTGCTAGCTTTCAGCAGGGAGCTCAGTTGTGGTTGTTACTGGGTCACCCGCATGTGGCCTCCCCATGGTGCTTGGGCTTCTCACAGCATGGCAGCTGAGAGGAACTGTCTAGAGAGGAAGCAGTCTTGACAGAAGCCACACGACCTCTTCTGATGTCACCTTGGAAATCACACAGTGCCGTGCCATAGTCTATTAAGTACAAGCAAGTCACTGAACCAGCCCAAATGCAAGGGGAAGGGAACTGTGGCCATAATCCACCACAATCCCCCTCCCAACTGAATAGTCAGGTGAGTATTTTACTTGCCCTGGGAGCACAGGCCTAAGACTATGTATGACTTTTCATACATACAAGGACTCTTCTGCCCCATTAGTCTGCTCTGCTGAGTCCTCACCAGGAGAAGGAGTGACAGGAAAGTTCGACTTGAGACCTAGGCAGAGAAGGCCAGAGTTCATTGTGGGAAAAAGATGCCCAAAGATGGCCTAAGCACCCATGTTTGTCTTTTATACTCTAATCTTGGTTTATTTTGAAAGTCAAAAATCACTTTAAATGAAGCCAAAGGTATGAAGGGTGTGAATTAAGCTTTCCAATGCTGCTCTGCTTGTCAGAGTTACATATCAAAATCCCCTAACAAGGCTAGATGAAACGATGGAGCCAAAATTAAATAGACTGTAAGGTCCACATTACTCATCATCATTCTAATATTGCCTACTACTGTTGAAAGTTTCCTTCATTAACATGTGCTTTGCTGCTTCTTAAAATAGCTCCATAACCAAATGCTGCAATTCGGAGAAGCATGATAAAAAAGGTTCTCTGATCATGCTCATTACTGAATATTTTTAGCAGAGCAATAATTAGGATTTGGAGGAAGCCGGGTACCTCATCATGTCAGCAGAGGGCTTGGCTTCATTCAGAGACCTACCTCCCCACCAGCCAAAGCAAAGCTCTCCCCAGCCCCAAATCTACTTGCAGCTACTCAGCCAAAGAACTTCACCCTCTGGCTTCAAAGGAAGGGTGAGCTCATGTCACCCATGTCGAAATTCCTTGCTAAAATCCGTTAGTAGCTAGAAAATTGTCTTCACATTCCAGCAGCTGGAGTGTGGGTGAAATATCTGCCTGCTAAAAGATGGGTTGGATTTCTCACCAGAAAACTCCCTGCTGCTACCACCAAGGTAGGAATGTCACCCCAGGCTCCCTAGCTTAGAACCACAATGCTATTTATATCCATGTGTTTGGATGTTTGCACCCTCTGCTTTCTATTTAGTTTTCTGTGTTTGGTTCCACCCCCAAGAAGGTGATTTGAACAAATTTCTGATTTAGTGGCAAGCCCCAACTCTGTCCTTTCAGCCGATTGCTCTGTTTGTAATATCAGCAGTGCACCCTGGCTGCTGATGCTGTGAATGTTCAGGTGCTATCAAAAGAAAGCTGCCAGGGATGCCCTAGTTGGGCTGAGAGACTGAAAAATTTGGAGAGAACTGGATTTGAAAGGGCACTGAGAGGTCAATATCCATTCATTTAACAAATGTGCCTGCTTGTCCCTGGGTGCTGAGAAGAGAAGCAAGAATGGTGTGGCTCTGAGACGGTTACTGAGCAAGTTGTTCTATGAAGGCCTTGCAGTATCTGAAGGGAAAGGGGTAGTGGAACATGGGATACAATGAGAAAGACTCAATCTGGGGACTGAGAGATTGAGGAAGTGACATGAAAGCTGAAACCCAACAGATGACCAAAAATTCGCTAGAGATTTTATTTGTGACAGAGTGGAGGGAGGAGGGCCAACACTTTCAGGATACTAAAGAAGTGCAGTGTGTCGGGGTGAAGCAGGGTCAGCCTACTGCTCAGCTCCACAGACTCCAGCAAGAACGAAGGTTAACGTTGTATGGTGCAGAGGCCTGGGGTGAGAGTGAAGGGAAGAGGGTCTGAGAAAGAAGTACCATGGGGACACGATCATGCAAGTCACTGCAGTACCAAGACTAAATCCAGAGGACAGGAGGAAGCTAATAGAGGGGTTTGAGCAGGCATGAGATTTGCATTTAGAAAGATCCCTCTGTGGATCTTACTTACATGGATTGAAGTGGACAAAAATGACTCTGCTGGGTCTGTGAACGTAGATGATAGTAGAACTATCATCTAGGTGTACAATGCCTAGGGTGTACAATGCCCCACCACACGCACGCGCACGTGCACACACACACACACACACACACACACACACACGACACACAATACATAGCTGAAGACTGATTTTGAGGCTCTTGCTGTAATCTTTGAATGAGATGGTGTTAGATTAGTTGAGGATGGAGGGTGGAGAAAAGGAGAATCATTTGAGAAGTTAGTTTTTTGTTTTTTTTTTGTTTGTTTGTTTTTGTTTTTGGTACCGGGGATCGAACTCAGGTCCTTGTGCTTGTGAGGCAGGCAGCAGAACCACTGAACTAAATTCCCTGCCCCTGAGAAGTAAGTTAGTGATTAGAAAGTGATTGGATGTGGAAGTGGGGAAGGAGTAAATGTCACAGATCCTGTCCAGCCGCCTCATTCCTCAGTTGCGGAGCCTAAGAGTAAGCAATGGGTTTGAATGGCTTGCCCAAATCTATAGACTGAGAACCTGGTGCTCTTGTCCCCAAATGCTCTGTCATGGTGTCCAACATGTGATGTCCTTTCTCCTTCTTCTTCTTTTTGTAGTGCTGCAGTCTGAACCCAGGGCCCTTGCACTGAGGTATACCTCCAGTCCTTTTATAATTTTAATTTTTTTTTTGTTTTGAGATAAGGTCTCACTAATTTACCACATTGCTTAGATCGAGCTTGAACTTCTGATCTTCCTGCCTCAGTCTCCCAGAGTGCTGGGATTACGGGGGTGCATATCACCACACCCCACTAAATGTCTCTAAGTGGTTGTAATGATACAGGTTATGAAAGACCTCAGTTGCCAACATGTCATTTGAGTTTATAAAATAATTCTGAGCATAAATCCAATTTTTGCTTTTGTTAATGTTTCTAATGTCTTTATAGCCTGCATTTCTTAGTAGCCCAAACACATCTTTGAAGAGTTTAAGGAAATCTAATAGAACTATTAGAACTTTATGCCCTGAGCTTGTTTATTTTTATCTGTCCCATATGGTCCAGATGAAAGGGCCTTTGAGTGGTGAAGCTACCACGCAGAGGAGATAGCTTTTAGGGACATAAAATCATTTAGCATCCCACAAGCATGCCCTTAGATCAGAGATAACAAAATAGTATAATTTTTCTTCTTTTCCTTCATTGTAATGTGACACAGACTTTCTTGGGGAAGAAGGGGAGGCGCTGTGATCTGACTAATTCATTGACTCAATTAGTCTTTGTTCACTTACTCATTTGATTTGCATTTATTGTGCACCTTCCATGTGCTATACACAGGGGCACTGAGTTGGGTGCTGGGGATGGAAGGAGGTTTAAGGCATAATCTATGCATTTGCAATGTTCCACATGCAGGCAGATATGAAGAATACTTTCATTAATGGAAAACATATCGATGTCCAAAATGCCATGGATTTTGCCTGTTGCTGTCAGGAAAGACTTCACCAAGGCAGAAACATGAAGCCAGACCATAAGGATGAGGAAGAACTCTGTAGTTGATGTAGGAGGGAAAGGGCATTCAAGGCAGCAAGGGAGAGCTCAGAATGAAGGTAACCAGGAGCCAAGCAAGCACTTGGTGCATCCTGGGACCAAGCCCAGGATGATGAGCACACTGTGTTTACGGTAGGAAGGATGTGTATGGAACTGAGGCAGGAAGAGCCAGCAGGGACCAGATCCGAAGGCCTCACTGGCACACCCAGGGGCTCCAACGTTGTCCTGGGAAGAAGGGCCATGAAAGGAAATAAAGTGATTGAGTTGATCTTAGTTTTATGTCTTCTTTCCTGCTTGAATAGGAATGTTTGTTCCAACGCAAAGAACGGAAGGCATCTCCACATCGGATATCATCACTAGAATCGTCCGTGACTATGATGTCTATGCCCGACGCAACCTCCAGAGAGGGTACACGGCCAAGGAACTGAATGTCAGCTTTATAAATGTGAGTGTGCCACCCCACACCCAATGAGGACCACCACACCACCCCACCACTACAGCCATGCGGCCATTTCCCAAGTACTTATTGTGTGATTCGCAGTGTCCTAAATGCTTTGCACATACTGTAACCCACATAACGATTCAATGCTGCATTTTATCCCCATTTTATAGATGCGGAAACTAAAATCCAAAGGGGAAATGTAAGTTAGCCAAGGAATGTAGGTAGCAAGCTTCATGTTTTATAAAAGAGCCCCCACCTACCCACTCTTCAGATTTGAGTGCAGGCTTTCCAGAAAATCTGCTCCTTGTGAAAGGCAAGAGTTGATGGAGCAATGAAATGCTGAGCCCAGAGAAAATGCTTTCTTGTTTTAACATTTAAAACTTTTCATTTTATTAAGGCCCTACAGATGCTCATTAGAAAGCTTAACAGCCCTTTTTTTTTTTTTTGTCTAGAGAAATTACAGCTACTTAAATAAAAGCCTAAAATCTTTTACTTCTTTTGTATTTCTACCATATTATTCCCACAGACCTGGTGTTAGTTTAATAATAGAGCAACTGTTAAAACAATCTTTAAAACAAGCAAAACAAACTGTTAGAAAGCAAGAAGGCAGCTCAGTGGCTAGAGGTGATATTAGTGAGTCCAGACTACTGGATTTCCTGGTGTCGGAGAAGTTGATATTTTTGATTAAGACCACAGCTCTCCATACATAGAGAATTCCAGCCCCCAAAATAGATACTATATTTTCAAAGAGTGATTTGGCTTCAAAACTTGGTGCTTTTAATGACAGGCCACCATAATTATCCCACCATAATTATTTTACATAGTTGATCATTGATATGTACCTTCAAAATAAGAGGGTATCATTAATTATAAATGAATGATTATTAATCATCCTCATGAGGCTGAGAGTGTTGGGGGTTTAGGCTCTGTGGCTTTATACAAGCCAGGCAACAAAATGGAAAATGTTGGGTTCCAGTGGCACTAGAACAAGTGGCTGAAAAAAAAATTCAGTCAAGGTGATTATTTAGTATCTTACAGAGAATAAAGCTCTGGTTATTTCAATAAATTTTAAACTGTCTGTTCTTTTAAATTGAATTCAGTCAACCATCCAAGCATGGCAAGCCATTTCCAAAAGTTATTGCTCACTCTCCTTAAACAGTCTTTAGCTAAGCCACTTAGCTCAAGGAACCATGCAGACAGTATGGATATGCTCACTGCCTTTTGGTGACAACAAACCTGGCTGCATCCCTGAGATGAAATTGAATGTATTGGATGGGCATGTAGATGAATCACAGAATCTGAGAAGTAGCAGGGACCTGATGGGGGCCAGTCATCCAGCCCAAGTCCCTTGATCCGGAGATGAGGAAAGCTGAGTCCAGGGAGGGAACCAAAGTCCCTTAAGTAGCCTCCCACTCTAGCCCAGTGCTCATTCTACTATTCTGAGCTGGTGCTGTGAACTGTACTCATAACCGTTTCCAGTGCCGAATGAATTGTGTGAGAGGAAGATGCAAAGACAACAGCTAACACTTACTGAGAGCTTATCATGTGCCTATCTGAGTGTTTTGCCTGGATTACCTCATTTAATCTTCATGATAAGCCTACAAGGGTGGATATAATGACTATATCCAACACAGAAGCAAGGAAACAGAGGTCCAGAGAGGTAGAACAACTTAACTAATGTCACATAGTAAATTGTGAAAGACAGGGTGATTTTCTTTTGTGTGTGTGTGTGTGTGTGTGTGTGTGTGTGTGTAGCTGAGTGGCAATACACATAGGTCATACCACGCTCTGAGGCTGTAGTAAGTGATCCAACTCAGGGATCTTGACCCAGTTTTACAATATTCAAGGTGTTTCAGAACAATCTGAAATGTAAAATGGGCCTAAGTCCCACATAGTAAAGAAAAACAATATGTCTTATTATCCCAGTAGGAGAAACAGTAGGAGAGTAGTAGAGTAGTAGTAGTAGTAGTAGTCCTTTTGTCTCTTGTTATTTTTGTTCTTTTTGTTTTTTTAGGACAGGATCCTACTATGCAGTTCAGGTTGACCTTGAACTCACTAGGTAGCCTAGGCTGGTCTCGAACTTGCAGTAATCCTCCTGCCTCAGCCTGCTCAGTGCTGGGATTACAGGCTTGTGCCACCTCACTCAGCCTTGTTATTTTCATTCTTTTGATCAAAAACTTGTCATGTAACTCAGATAAATGCTAGGTCACTTAATGACAATGAAACAGGCAATATATGTTGAGCATTTACTAAATGGTAGGCTCTGTACCAAACACATCCATTCATTTTCTTACCTGATTATCACAGTACCCCTGGGATGATTATTATCCCAATTTTACAGTTCAGAAAACTGAGGTTTAAAAGCAACACATGGCCAGGCATGGAGGCGCACTCCTGTAATTCCAGCAATCCAGAGGCTGAGGCAGGAGGATTGCTGTGAGTTCGAGACCAGCCTGGGCTACTTAGGGAGTTCCAGGTCAGTCTCAACTACATAGTGAGACCCTGTCTCAAAAAACTAAAAAATAAACAAACAAACAAACAAATAAATAAATAAAATAAAAGCAGCACATGATTTGCTTAACCCACAATAGCTTCTGGGTACATAGGCAGACAACATTGCTTCATAAAGGCTAGAAGAAAAAAAATCCAAGTTCAGAGAAGTTATCAAAACAAAAGCTTTCTTCATCACCAAAGAAAATGATACAATTCATCAAGCTTAGTAGAAAATGTCATTACAATTAAAATTTTAATATAACACATGAATTTTAAAGCCCAGTCAGTGGCCCATTTTTGTAAGCAATGTCCCAGTAAAACAGAAAACTCAAGCAGCCTCTAAACAGCCTTTCTGTAGACAACTAAGTTTTGTCTAAGTCCTAGCAGAATCAAGTGGGGATACTTTTCCAGTAGAGTGAAAAAGGGTAGCTGTGTATTTTGTCCCCCACTTTCTCACTGCTGAGAATTGAATGGTTTCTCCTTTTATATAAGTAACTCCAACTCATAGACACCTAATAGAGTTAAATTGTTAAAACCACTTGTGCTTCCCTTTACATAGCCAAATAGTTTAATGACAAATGACTTTCCTTACAAGAGATGTGCCTTCCGTCAATCTAGTCCTCAGGGGAGTGACACCATCCTACCATTTACATTAGAAACAGATTCAAGTTGACCTAAAATATGACCATCAGGGTGGATGATCCATCTCTCATTCCTACTCTGTTAGATAAATCCATTTCTTCTGTAAATTTTGACCAGGAAAAGAAGTACCGTTTCCAGAACCAAGTGGACAAGATGAAAGAAAAGGTCAAGAACGTGGAGGAAAGGTCAAAGGAATTTGTTAACCGAGTGGAAGAAAAGAGCCATGATCTAATTCAAAAGTGGGAAGAGAAGTCAAGGGAATTCATTGGCAACTTCCTAGAATTGTTTGGACCTGATGGAGCATGGGTATGTAATTATCTCACTTAGCCCCCTTTTCACGGTGAAGAGCATCCCTACTTCATGTAGTTTACTCTTGGGCACTGGCCTAGATGACTTCAAGCCATGTGACTTCCCTCTTTAGTTACTGCTTTATCCCTCAGTGTGTTGCCAAATAGCACATGAAGCCAAGCCTTGTCTCTGTTTCTACACTTTGTCCAGAGCTTGGAAGCCATTAATTATTCACTGTGTGCTTATTAGTGCACAGTTTTTCCTGTAGCTCATCCCAGTCTCCCAGCTGGGGAGGATGCAAAGCTTGGGGATAAGGTTGACCAGTGGCAGTGCTGAGCATATGTTGCAAGATAAGGTCAATGGGCTCTTAGCTCAACCACAGTCATTTATGTTAGGGGGATGAGAATGCAAAAGAAATGTAGCTACCTCGATTAGCTTTTGTTGTCAGGAACTCTCTTTTTCATTAGTTGCCGGAGATAGAATTTTTGTTGTACATCTGTATCCATCATGGCTTGATTTTTCCATGGCATGAAAGTGTTAGTATAAATAACAAAGGTCTTAGAGGACTGAGATAATGTACTGAGAGAGAAAAGATAGAGCACCTCCTTGTCTACATTCTATAGACAACTGTGAATGATACTATATGAAGGGAAGAGGAAATTCTGGTAATTATACTGCACATGCCCTGTTGGAATAAATAACCAGTATTGTCAGCAGAGTTAATGAGTGTTCTATGAAACAAATACTTTTAAACCTGACTTTCCTTTTTTTTCCCATTAAGTTTATTGGTGCATTTAAAGCAAACAATACAGTTACATTTATCATTGGGATCTTGTACCTTTACATGATATATCTTGGTTCTTGTTTTTCCCCCATACCCATACCCTCCCTTCACCCCCTTCACCCTCCCCTATTTACAAAGACTTTGTTTCCATTTTTTCCACATTTTTTCTTTTCCCTTACTTCCTTTCCTCTCTCCTTCTGACTTTCCCTTTAGTCATTTTCTTCTGATTTCATACTCCCAATTATACCATTTGAACATTATTTACACTTTTAGTTTTTCACACCAGAGAAACTATTTGGTATTTACTCAAGTGTGTCCTATTTATTTCACTTAAGAGTATAACCTCAATGTGCATCCATTTAGCTACAAATGTTTCTAGTTTCTCATTCTTTATGGCTGAGTAGTACTCCATTTTATAGAAAAACCCTGTCTTTTTCATCCAGTCTCCAGTGATGGGCATTTGGGTTGTTTCCAAGTTTTAGATATTATGAACTGTGCTGCTATAAACATGAGTGCACATATGTCATTGTGGTATGATACTTTTAATTGTTTTGGAAAGATACCCAGCAGAGGGATAGCTGGGTCAAAAGGAACCTCTAATCCTCGTTCTTTGAGGTATCTCCATATTGATTTCCACAGTGGTTACACCAGTCAGCACTCCCACCAACAATGGAGAAGTGTTCCTTTCTCCCCACAGCTCCACCAGCAATTGTTATTGGTTGACTTCTTGATAGCAGCCATTCTTTGTGGGGTGAGGTGAAATCTCAGTGTTGTTTCCATCTGCATCTCTCAAATGACCAGTGATGTTGAACATTTTTCATATATTTATTTATTGCTTTTACTTCTTTGAGAAATGTCTGTTCATTTCAGAGGCCCATTTTTGAATTGGGTCTTTGTATTTGGGGGCCTGATTTTTAAAATTTCTTTATCTATTCTAGACAGTAGTCCTTTGTCTGAGGGGTAGCTGGTAAAAAATTTTAACCCACATTGTAGGTTGTCTCTTATCTCTGTTGGTGATTCTCTGTTGGTGATTTCTCTTGCTCTGCAAAAACTTTTTAATTCAGTGAGATCCTAGTTGTTTATTCTTTGTGCAAGTTCTCGTGCTGCTGAGGATTTGTTCATAAAGTCTTCTCCTATGCCAATGTCTTTGAGAGTTCAACCTAATTTACTTTCCAGTAAGTTTAGTGTTTTTGTTTTGATATTTAGATCTTTAATCCACTTGGATTTTAGTTTAGTGCATGGTAAAAGACAGGAATCTATTTTTAATCTCTGGCAAGTTGAAGAGCAGTTTTTCCAACACCATTTATTAAAGAGGCTATCTTTCCTCCAGTGAGTATGGTTGGCTCCTTTGTCATGATGAGGTAGCTGAGTATGTCTGGTGTTGTTTCTGCATCTTCTAATCTATTCCATTGATCCTCAGGTCTGTTTCTTTGCCAGTACCCTGTTGTTTTTATCACAGTGGCTTTGTAGTATAGTTTCAAGTTGGGAATTGTGATACCCCCTGCCATGTCTCTGTTGCCTGGAATGGTTTTTGCTATTCTAGGTCTCTTCTGGTTCTAAATGGATTTTTGGATTCTTTTCTCAAGTTCTGTAAAATATACTGTTGGGATTTCAATAGGGATTGAATTGAATCTGTATAGCAGTTTTAGAAGTATGGCCATTTTCACTATGTTGATTCTTCCTACCCAGGAACAAGGAATGTCTTTCCATCTTCTTATATCCTCTTCTATCTCTTTTTTTAGAGTGCTGTAATTTTCAGTGTAGAGGTCTTTTGTCTCCTTCATTAGATTGATTCTAAGATATTTCATTTTTTTGGATGTTATTGTGAAATGAATTGTTTCTCTAATTTCTCTCAGTTAGTCTGTTATTTATGTACAAGAGGGCTATTTATTTTTGAGTGTTGACTTTGTATCCTGCTATTCTACTGAATCTGTCAATTAAGAATTAAGTCTAGTAGTCTGTTGGCAGAGATTTTTGGATCTTCTATGTAGAGTATCATATCAGCAAATAGTGACAATTTAACTTCTTCCTTTCCTATCTTTATTGCTCTAATTTCTTTATCATGTCTAATTGCTGTGGCTAATGTTTACAGAACTATGTTGAACAGGAGTGCTGATAGTGAACATCCTTGTCTTGTTCCTGATTTTATGTGAAAGTTTTTATTTTTGACCATTTAGAATGATATTGGCTGTTGGTTTTGCATAGATAGCCTTTATCAATTTGAGATACAGACAATCTATTCCAATTTTCTGTAGGGTTTCTATCATGAATGTGTGTTGAATTTTGTCAATTGCTTTTTCTGCATCTATTGATGATCATATGGTTTTTGTCCTTGATTCTGCTAATATAGTGTGTTACATTCATTGATTTATGTATGTTGCACAATCCCTGCATCACTGGGATAAATCCAACTTTGTCAAGGTGTATGATCTTCTGTATTCTGTTTGCCAGTATCTTATTGAGGATTTTTGCATCTGTGTTCATTAAGGAGATTGGCCTGTAGTTTTCTTTTTTGGTTAGGTCTTTCCCTGGTTTTGGAATCAAAGTAATACTTGCTTCCAGGAATGAATTTAGAAGGTGTTGCTTCCCTTTCAATTTCATTGAAGAGTTTAAAGAGTAGTGATAATAGTTCTTCTCTAAATGTCTTGTACAATTCAGCAGTGAAGCCATCAGGGCCTGGCCTTTCTTTGTTGGTGACGTTTTAATTACATTTTCAATTTCACTGAATGTAATTGGGGTGTTTAGACTTTTTATATCTTCTTCATTCAACTTTGGAAGTTCATATGTATCTAGGAATCTGTCCATTTCTTCTATATTTTCCATTTTATTAAAGTATAGGTTTTCAAAGTAGGTATTGATGATCCTCTGGATTTCTGCTGGGTCTCTTGTGACTTCACCTTTTTATTCCTAACTTCATGGATTTGAGCCTTTTCTTTCCTTTTTTTGATAAGGTTGGCTAAGGGTTTATCGATTTTATTTATTCTTTCAAAAAACTAACTCTTCGATTCATTGATTTTTTTTGTGTCATTCTCTTAGTCTCCATTGCATTAATTTCTGCTCTGATCTTTATACTTTCCTCCCTTTATGGGTTTTCAGTTTGTCTTGCTCTTCTTTTTCTCAGAGCTTAAGGTTAAGCATTAGGTTGTTTATTTGAACTTGTTCTGTTTTTCTAGTATGGTCACTTACTATGAATTTCCCTTGTAGAACTGCTTTCATTGTGTTCCATAGATTCCTGTATGTTGTACTGGCATTATCATTTAATTGTAGAAACTGTCTAATTTCTTCTTTAATTTCCTCTGTGACCCAATGGTTGTTCAGCCGGGTGTTATTTAATTTCCATGTGTTTGTGAATATCTTGCGGTTTCTTAGGCTATTGATCTCCAGTTTAATTGCACTATAGTCTGATAATATACTGGGGATAACTTCAATTCCTTTGCATTTACTTAAGCATGTTCTATGAGCTAGCATGTGGTCTATTTTGGAGTGTGACCCAGGTGCAGCTGAAAAGGATGTATATTCTGATTTTTGTGCGGTGGAACACTCTGTAGACATCTACTAAGTCCATTTGTTCTAAGACTTGGTTCAGTTATATTATTTTGTTATTGATTTTTTGTGTAGAAGATCTGTCTATTTGTGTCAGTGGAGTATTGAGGTCCCTCACTACAATTGTTTTAGTGCTTATTTCATTTTTCATATCCATTAATATTTGTTTTGTATCATTTGGGGCATTAGTATTCATTACATATATATTTTTCATTGTCATTTCTTCCTCTTGTATTGTTCCCTTTACAAGGATGCAGTGGACTTCTTTTCTCCCTTAGTTAGTTTTGGTTTCAAATCTATTCTGTCTGCAAATAAGATAGCTATCCTTGCTTTTTTCCAGGCTCCTGTCACATGGAGAACAGTTTTCCATCCTTTTATTCTCATTCTATTAGTTTCTTTGTGGATTAAGTGGGTTTTTTGTATACAGCATATTGTTGGATTTTGCTTCTTAATCAATTATGCCAGCCTGTTTCTTTTGATTGGTGAATTGAGGCCATTAACAGTGATGGTTATAACTGTTATGTATTGGCTTTTCATTGTCATGTTGTTTTCCTGTTGTTGGTTCTTTTTTATTTTTCCTTCTCTCCCTTTACTTTCTTGCCTTGTCTGTTATATTTGCTCTGTTGGCCCTTATGGGGTTGTGGTCTACATTTTCTTTTTCTAGGATATTCTTTAGAAGTTTTTGGAGTGC